GGTTCCCAAAGCTGGGCTTGGGGCCCAATTATGGGTCATGAAGCACCTTGGATAATCTCCAGAAATCAATTTAAAGGGTAATAAAATAATTGCTGATGTAATATTTTCCCTATAATTATTACAAAAACACAAAATAAGTAAAAATAAGTATTTATATTTGTGTAAAGCTGTTTAGATTGTCAAAAAGCCTGTGTTTTTAGGGTTATTCACTAAGTTCGTGTACTCAGACCAGTAATATTTGGGGTCACAAGTTTTTACCATGGATATTTTGTGGGTCAGAAGATAAAAAGTTTGGGAACCACTGAGTTAGCGTAAAATACTTTGCTGTCAGTTGAAATATAACCACCCATGCAGTAATTATATGAGGGCAGTTCTTCCCTATTAGCTTAGTTAAATCCAGGTGGTGACCTATTTTTTTGGCCAGGCAATGTAAAAGGCTAAGATTTAAAAAAAAACTGAAAAAAAAAACAAAAAAAAAACCACACATAAGGAGTCAAAAAGACTTAATGGAGACAAAACGTATAAGGAGTCCTTAAAGATGTATAGGGAGCCAAAAATAAGCTCCTTATGCAAATACAAAAGCATCTCAGGAAGTACACACAAGAAGACATAAACACCAAAAGACAAAGAAATAAAACGGCATAAAAGAAAATAAAGAGACAAATGTTTAAAGAAAAGAAGGATGTAAAAAAAGGGTACATGAGCCATAAAAAGACAAAAAAGATCACACAACAGTAGCTACGTTTACATGGACATAAATAATCGGATTAAAAGGTCGTTCGGAAAAAAAAATGCGTCATGTAAACAGCCCGTTCGGATTATTCTGATCCGATTGAGCTCGATCAAATTGAATTTTTAATCCGAATGAGTCAGGTGGGTTATGCCGATTGATAATCGGAATGACGTGCATGTAAACACTTAATCSGATCATCTTATTCTGATTGTAGAAAACTGACCTGTGTGCATGTCTGCTGACTTTCATTAACCTGGTTCTGCTCTTTTAGAGGAGGTGGGGCAGCAGCGCAGCATCTCACAGAACTTTTACTCTAAGTTCTCTTAACAGATGAAATAGGAAACAAACAGCAGACGTTGCTTCGCAAAAAATAAAAATAAAAAAAACACTTCTTTCTTCATCTGCAGCTCAACCGGGAAGTGACGGTGTCTCTACCGTTATTAAAAGCTGACACGGGTCCGTCCTGAGCGCACAGAGGAGCTTTGTTTACGTTTGTAACACGGAAGTAGAGCTGAACGTTTACAACACTGCGAATGTCCGGACTTTTGTTCTGAATAAAAGTCCGATGCAAGTAAACACTTTTCATGATCGGATTGTGTCCATGTAAACAGTACATTCAGATTATTTAATCCGAATACATTTCAATCAGATAAAAAATTTTGTGCATGTAAACATAGCTAAAGAGAGTGTTTTACGGAGGAAATGAGCGTACTTTGTGATGTCATCAAACACTCCGTATCCTGTTTTCTTGTCCTGCAGCCACTGGCCGATGAAGACGCTGGGGGAGGACGTATTGAGCTTCCCGCTGCGCAGCATGCCATGGCCGTGACGCAAGCCATCCTGGAAGGAACCGTCGTAAACCTCACCGCTGGCATACCTGAAGCCAAATGAAAGAGGAGTCTCTAAAGCCAAATCTCTGAGTCTTACTTCAAAGGAGGAGATAAAAACTGAACACTGACCAAACATGAACTCATTAGACTCTCAGTCATGACTAACAGGTGGACGTCAAAATGAGCTGCTTACAAACAACCCAAGAAGCCAAAAAAATGCACTTTTTGCTGTTTTAACTGGTGAAAAATATTATGAAACCAAACTGTTCCAAAGAAAGTCGTTTCAGTTTCCAGCTTCTACCCAAAGAAATGCATGAAATGGTCTGAGTTTAAAAAAAAAGTGAATACATTTCTTCAAACTCACCTGTACGACCCCAGGCCGTGCATCTTGCCTTCCTTCCAGTATCCCTGATAGAGATCAGTCTTGTTTAGGGTCTTATTAGGAGCCACAAACTCCCCATAGCTGCAGAAATTAATGTGACAACACAGAGAGAGTAGGAAACTGTCTCAGATTATCCAAACTGAATACTTTTTATACAGACTCAGTGATGAGCCATCTGGCTGAAACTCACCCATCTTCCAGTCCATTCTTGAATGATCCGGTGTAAATTCTGCCGTCAGGCCATTTTAACTCTCCACTAAAAAAGACAAACAAATAAATAAACCAAACCCACTTAACTAAAGAAACTGTAATATCATAATCCAATGTTAAGGCTCAGTGAGGAATGACTTGAATGCTGAGATTTGATTCAAATAAGCTGAAACTGAGTGGCTAAAGCTAACTAAGCAGAACACTAGCTAAAAGCTAAAAGTAGCACAAGACAAAACTAGCGCCATTATACTAAAGCAGATTTCAAAGAAAAGTTTTATAAGGAACTGAAGCGCCCTCAATGTATTTCTATGGGGAAAATTTGTGTAAATAAAGTTAAGTATTTTAAAAAGTGGGAAATAAAAAAAGTATAAAATATGAGTGGTTAAAACAGGACAAAGTGTGCAGAATTAGTTATAACGCAAGAAATGCACTTAGAGTGAAAACAGAAACCAAACAGAAGAATGACAGTGTGACTGAACTTGTCCAGTAAGAATAAAATAAAAATAAAACATTGCCCAACCTGCCGTGGGGTTTCCCAGTGAGCCAGTGGCCTTCGTACGTCACCTCTTTCAGCCGACCATCTTTATAAAAAGTGTAGGAGGCCGTCCTGCTGATGGGCGGCTCTGACTTCGGTCCTGAACCATCAGCGTTCTGCCCCGCCCCATTCAGAGCCTGATCCACCGCCTGGTTGATGGCACGAAGCCATTTGGACTTTAAAAAACAAAAAACAAAACAGTGAGCTCAGGCAACAGCAAACAAAGCTTTACAGAAAGTCAGATTTGAAAAGCTCACCTTCTCTGTGGGAGATGAGGCGAGCAGCGTGAACGTCTCCTCGGGTGTGATGACCTTTAACCCCTGGCTGCTCTCAAACACACAGAAAACAAAAAGCAAAGCGAGTGATTATAAAAGTAGTTAAACCTTTTATGAATGAAGTTTGAAGGGAACCAACGCAGCTTCTGACCTAATTTTCCAACACTAACTTTTCTGCCTTTTTTAAGTTACACTGCCCTAGACCTCCCTCTGGTGGGTGCTTGTAGTATTGTTTTGATTACTCAGCAAAAAACAAATATCCAAGATGGCAGAAGGTTATACCAGAATGTTCATGTGCTAGGTTGATACTGACTTTAAAATGTTGCCTCGGAGAAGATTTGTCCGTAAGTATGGATTATGACAAAAATGATAATTGTCTCTTTATTTTGTGTAAAAAGGTATTGTAATTTGTGCAGTTATGTGAATTTTGAGCATGCTGTTGTGTTAGCTTGTAGTGAGCATGAAACAAGCTAGTTTGCTATGTTAGCTAAATCATGTTTTGTATTTTTCAGTTTTACAATGGTCAATGAGAAGACAATGGTCAGAGGCCATTCTTCAATAAATCAGCACAAAAATAAGAAGAATAAGTCTATTTATTGGAGCATCGTTATCTTGCTGTCTAGCTGGTGAAAATGGGAAAACTCAGGGCGAGGATAGCATACTAACTATCTTCTATAAAACCCAACATTAAATTACATCATTTACGTAGGGGTGTCCCGATACCAGCTTTTTTAAAATGAGTACTGCAGTTTGGATACTCGCTGATACAGAGTACCAATGTCAAGTATTTACTGAGTTAGAACTTAAACATTACATGATGTATTTCTTTTGTTTAGAAAAAGGTGTCTGTCCTCTTACAGCCTCTCTGACTGGATCAAATCAAATATACTAATATAACAATATTATTATAATAATAAAATAATAATATGGACTGTTGCAAAATTTTTAAATAAACAAAAACAACAAAGATTTTCTTTTAACTTATATAAATTGCTTAAACATGGAACTGACTAACTTTTCAATTGAAATAAACTGAAACTGATTTAATGGAGGATACAGTCAGGTGTTTAGCTAGAGGGGTGTCGGGGTGCCGTTTTTCTTTTGTAACTTTCATAAACAGCAGCTGAGGTGACTGCAGTTATTTAATGAAGTCAGAGGAAGACACAAAGAATAAATTGAAGTGGTTTAGATAGAGGAAGAGGGTAGTGAGTTTACTTCAGTAGCTGTTGTGTGTTGTCACCAGGGTTGGACAAGATTTATTTATTTTTACCTGCCCGACAGGGCAGGTAACATTAGTTGTCACCTGCCCGACATGAAAAGTTACTTGCCCGAAAAAAAAAGTTCAAATTTTGATAAAATAAGAAAAACGTGTACCGTATTTGTACTACAAAAATATTAACATGGTTATACAGGGGTATATAACATGTGACATTTGATTAAACAGATGCAAACATTTTAGACTGAGTTAATATCAGTCAATTGTATTTTCAAGAACATGTTCAAAAACCTTTTTAGACCTTTCCAGTGTTTTCCCTAGAGTACTGGCCTGAGGGCGAGGCTTATGAAAACAGAATGATCAACAGCAGCAGCTTTGTTTTAAATACAATTTACAGAACATGAAAAGTCAACAATTTGCATTAAAATAATCGAATAGCCTATCCCATATCTAAAGATAAATTTAAAATATCTTGAACTGGAGTCTCCCTACAACTTAATGATAAATCTAATGTTATTTATACAAGTCAGAATATAATTAGAGATATCTTAAATAGGTATTTTGCCTTGTCAAAATATATTAGAGATGTCTATTTGTTTCTTTCTTTCATTCATAAAAACAAAACCATCTATGTACAGCATTAAAAAAAGCAAAGTAAATCATACCCTGAAGTAAAAGGGTGCAGAGTGAAGTAAAAAACTTATCATATGTGACCATTATTTTTAAAAATCAACTTCAACAAACAAACAAGCTCAAGCTGGAAAGATCTCCAAATAAAAAAATAGTAAATAAAACAAAACAATAAAAGAAAACATTTTATTATTTTTATCCTAAATAACTAATATATCTTATTTTGTCATAAAACAATTTCAGATAACTAGAATATGTGTGGTGAAGCCAAATAAATGATAGATCGGCCTGCCATACAATGAGCTTCCGCCTGCTGCTGCTGTGCTCTCATCTTCATCATCATCTTCATCATCAGAGCAGAACCCGACATTAACAAGTTGGATTTATGACTAAACGAACATCCACATCTTTTTTATCATGTCTGTGGGTAACAATACATAAAACAAGTTTTTTTTTCTCCAACAACTTGGGTGTGAAAAAACTACGGTTGTTAAAGCTTCGCTCTGCACGACGTGCAGCGGGAAGGTGGGAGGGAGGGAGGGAGGAAATAAACCCGCAATATGCTGCACGACGTAACTTTTCTACAGCGGGAGGGGGAAATTTAGAGGATTTATTTACTCTATACATGTTTTAAAATGCTATATTTATTAATTTATTTTCAGAATATTTCAAATAAATGGCCCTATAAAAAAATAAAAAGAAATTGTTTACCTGCCCGGTCGGGCAGGCATCGGGACACACCCACCTGCCCGAATATGGGTTTTATCTGCCCCGGGCAGTCGGGCAATCGGATTTGTCGAACCCTGGTTGTCACAAATTCTCCAGCTGCTGTTCATCATCTCTGATCATAACTTTCTTTCCCGCCCGTATGTAAATTTCATAAACCTGCTTAAATGCTAAACTTGGGCGCGCGCGCGGGWTGGGGGGGGGGGGGGGGGTCGATGGTGGCACTGGCTTCTAGTATTGATGTTTTCTTCCAAAATCCTACCAAAAAGCCTGGATAATGACATTATCAGAGCTATTTTTGTACGAATAATTGCAAAACTTTTGGCCCGATATCAACAGATGGATCGGTATCAGGACACCACTAGTTTTAAAGGGAAATCAATTGCAAATTTCATCTTTGCTGAAAACATTATTTGTGTCAACTTTAACCAAACCTTTACAAAAACATTTGATTAAGAATTGGGAAAAGGGTATAAATCATAATATGTTTACATCAAATGCTACTTTGTGCTAAAGATACATAATAATTTGTTTGTTATCATGGTTAGATTATGGCATTTGTATTTTTTTTCTAATAGATCTATTAACAAAACTAAATTATTTAGTTTTAATACCAGACAATGATCGGTTCAATGGCGTGTTGTAAAAAAAAACTCAGAATGTCAAACCTATGACATAAAAACATGCTTTTTGTGATAACATTTTCCTTTCTTTGCCATAGTTAACTTGAGAAATATAGGTTTTATCAGTGATACTCAGATTCAGATTTTAAGATTGCATGAATGATGTAAAACTGGATTGAGTGTCCAAATAAATCTCCCAGATGTCAGTCTTTGAGTCTTTTTGTTTAATTACTATATGAAAAAGCACAAGAGGAAAACAGGTGGCATTAAACTTACAGTCCAGTGTCATCCTCTGTCATCGGCTCCACCCACAGCGTGGTTAATGGGAAAATGTGATGGGTGGAAAACTGGACAGAAAATGAGAGAAAAATTTATAAGATGGGTATTTCAAAAAAAGACCACAGAAACAACAAACTCACATCATAACAGTCAACAACAAACAAACAGACTTCAACTACTTCAGTTTCAATATTTTGACCATTGTGTCATATATTAACACAAGTTTTTAGTCTATTTGATTGGATTTTTTTTTGTTTTGTTTTATTGCAGAAGGAGTGTAGAAGTTGCCAGGAAGGGTTTAGTAATTGAACACAAAACGTTCCAACAATAAGTGCTACTTTCCTTGGTAATACGTTTTTGTATTTGAACTTATTTCACATTTTAGAGCAGTGTTTCCCAAAGGTGGGTTTGGAGGACCCACAGTGGATCATGAAACACCAACTGTGGGTAGAAATGGTGAAAAGTGATTGTTGTCAATAATATGAACAATATACAGCTAAGTACTTTTGTCTTTCGTGTTGGTGGGTGATCAGTAACATCTAAAAATCATAAAAACCTTTTTTTGTTAGTCCATAAAGTGAAACTGTAAATACGTACAGCACATCTTTGTGTAAAAGTAGCCTTCATTTAAGGGATGCATGATGCCTTGTGTCCCAAACTTTTAGTTGAGCAATTTTCCAACTTTATGATGTTTTAGACTAATTTTAATCAGGTTTTTGTAAAGCCCACTGTACAGAAACGACCTTATCAAAGGTTTCCATTGACATTTTGATATTCGCTGATTCAGGGCACAACACAACTCTGGTCTTGATATGGTTGATCATAAGATCTTAATCAATAGGTTGAGAAATCATTCTGGGTTATCTGGTTTTGTTCTGATCACATCTGTCTGATCAAAGTTTCAATGTCTGTAAACTGTATCACGTCGTACACATCACTAGGCTGACTTGTGGTGTTCCCCAGGGTTCTGTTTTGGGACCCATTTATTTATTCTTTATATTTCCCCCTTGGGCACATTTCACAATTTAGTAATGTGCAAAATGAGCTCTATGCTGATGAAATTCAGCTCTACTGCTCATTTAAATAAAGTGAGTTTCATAAATTAAAGCCCTTAACAAATTGTTTAGCTAGAATTAAAACAGTGGTTACTACTAGAAAGTGAACTCAGATAAGACTGTTTGAGATTGTTGCACAACAAAATAAGGTTCCTCAAATTAAGCAGTTCATTTGAGTTTTAGGTCCTTCTGTGCAGTTCAGCCTCAGAAACTTGGTGTCATTTTTGATTCTGGGATGTCTTTAAAACAACAAACTAGAAACTGTCACTGGGAACATTTCAAAATTGAAAAGTTTATTATTAAAAGCTTAACTTGAAATTATGACCTTATTTTTCTCATTTCAACTATTGCAACAGCTCTTAAACAAGAAAGAGCTGGACCGTTTTCAGGTTATCCAGAACTCAGCTGCAGCATTGTTAACTCACATGAACGACCAAGCTCACTGGGTCCCAGTTCATTTTAGAATGAATTTTAAAATTTTAGTTTTAACGTTTCGAGCCCTACATAAACAAGCTCACTTTTATTTCTTGGATTTGATACAACTCCACTCCATCTCACAGGTTAAGGCCATCAGGTCAGAGGTTGATTCAATTGATGTTTTCAAACCTCTGAAGACTTTCTTTTATAAAACAGGCTTATAAATAGTTGTTAGAGTTTATGATGTTTATTCCAACTAGTTTTGCTTGTAATTTTTTATGCATGTTATGTTAAAGTTTTCTTGCTTTTATTGTGAAGCACATTGCGATTTTATATCTATGAAAAGGTGCTCTATAAACTTTAGACTTCAAATACTAACTGAGACTTGGGTACATTTCATATTTTTAAATAAAAGATTCACAGAACACGTCAGTCATGCAATACAAGTCTCACAAACATGCGTTTATTTCAACCAACATCCTGATTCCCAATATTCACATCACAAGACGTCTGCAGCTTTTTTTTCCTCACGTTACCAGCTGCTACAGCAGTTTTAAATAATGCAAAGAAAACTTGACTTCTACTGGTTTCTGTAGGGAGTTTTGGTTCAAGAACAATCAGAACGTTGGGGGTGGGGGTGGCGGGGGGATTGAAATGAGCTGGACACCCACAGGACAGACTGCAGACAGAAAATGAAGGGACCAAACAAGAAGGAAACTGCTTTAAATACATTAATCAGTAACTGTTGGGATTCTTCTTTCAACCCAACAGAACAAAACAAGTGTTTAACAGGAAATGGCAGAACAGATGGTCCAATGGTTAGCACTGATGCCTCACAACAAGAAGGTTGTAGGTTTGATCACCGGTTTGGACCTGGGGGCTTTGTGTGTGGAGTTTGCCTGGTCTTCTCGTGTTTGCGTGGGTTTTCTCCTGGTACTCTGGTTTCCTCACACAGATCAAAAACATGCATGTTAGGCTGCCTTCAGGACCAGGCCTCCCTTGTTAAAGAGATCTGTGATCTCACTGGGAGTTGCCTGCTTAAAGAAAGGTTTCTAAACACTGGGTAAACTGTTGGAGCCTTGGTTGTGCTCAGTTGTAATTTTTCATGCAGTCTCCGTCAGGTGAGAGCAGGCAGAGGTCAGAGGTCATGGCAGGGCTGAGTATCAATGGAAACATTGAAGCAGTAATGGATCCGTAACATTCATGATGTTTTTTAGCAAGTTTACAAACCACAGTCTGATTTGGTTATTTTAGCTAACAAAGCTAAGTATGTTTCTGTTTACCCTATTCTGTATGTTTTCTTCGTGGATTAAAATACAATTCTTATATTTTCTATTTGCTTGCTGAGTTGTGGTGGAGGAAAAATTTTATTGCATGTTTTTTTTTTGGTAATTATAAAAATGCAAGCGTGAGGGTAAAAGCAGCAAACACAGATTTTACAAAGAGTGCTTAAGAAACATTGTTAACGCATTTAACATGTCAGTCATTTTTTAGGTGACTTTCAAACATTTTAAACAATTTTTTTATTGATTTTCATGTACAGAAGATTGCTTTTTTCCCCACCAGTGTTATAAAAATATATTTAATTTGTATTTGCTGGGAAAATTGCAAATGAAATCCATTTATTATTATATTATTTACAATATTTTGGATGCTTCAGGGGTCTGCAACCTACGGCTGAGACCACATGCGGCTCTTTGAGGCTTTAACTTTTTGTTTTGGTTTTTATACCAACAACAGCAAAGGCTAGCTTTAGTAGTTTAATAGTCAGTCTGTTAGTTGTAACAATTACATATTTGCTAGTATAAAGTATTAAAAGTGTTGATTAGATCATGCTAGTAAGTAAGTAAATATTTATACAACAAAAGATCCAAACAGTTGACGAAAAAACAGGTGTAATAATAAAGCTAAGTTGCATTGTACTAAAAGAATACAAATTTATGAAATTTAACACTAGGATAAGGTAAAAGATTAAATTTTTTTGTCACTAAACTGTATAAGGTTTACAAATATGAAGAAACAAAGCAGGAATATGAGGATTAATCGATCAGTTTTAACAATGTTTTTATTTTTTGTTTGTTCATTAAATTTTAAAGAATGATCTGGATCATTTCCTGCAGCAACGGTTTGTACAGCTGGTTTGTGATGATGACGCGTGGTCGGCTCAAACTTGCAAAAAAAACTATGCATGTTAAGCAAATATTTTCCTCAACTTACAGTTTTATCATAGCATAATTCAAGTTCTGATCTTTTTAATTTTTTTCAGAGTTAACAAAATATGTGTGTTAGCTTCTCTTTAACCAGATATATGAGATTTCAGAGCCCAGATGTTACTGAAATGAGACCTGTACTGACAAAACGAGTCACAGTATTGAGCTATTAATAATTTCAAGTTATTCCAAAACATTCAAAATGAAATAAACTAAAGTCCTGGTTTGAAAACTTTATTATTTAAAAAAAAAAGGCAAATCCCCAACCTTTAATATGACACCAAGGATTTCAAGGCATTAATGCAGCCAGCAGGGGAAAATGGTCTGGTTCAAAAGGAGATTAAAAGGATTAAAAATAAAAGGATTATTTCTAAAGACATACAGTACCTGTTATAATACTTTGATATAAAGGGGGGTATTGTGTATTTACAGGCACATTCTTCAATTCTATACCACAATCAAGTAACTGTTGTCTTCAGTTGTTACAAAAATAATTGATATATAAAAAATAAATAGTATCATAGCCTCTAAACACCTTCAAATTGGCCTCTGTCTCTTTAAAAACCTCCTACCGTTTCTGACACTCCCACTTCAGCAAGTTTTCACAACAATGCTTTGCGGGAGGAGTGCTCTGTGGGGCAGGAGCTCTGCTGCAGTCTGAGCTCCAGGGAGGAGCTTTGTACAACTAGGCGGAGCTTTGTACCATCAAGCATTTAGGCAGCTCCACATGTCAGTTTTAAATAATACCCCTCATTAGAGGTAATTAACTTGATACATGTTTGTTTAGTTACTATGATCATTAGATGATGTAGCTTTTTTTTCACTCTTTTTACATTTCAGCCTGTGCTCATTTCGACTCATTTTGTCAGCACGGGTGATGTTCCGTGAGTTTGTTTAGATGTTCAACAGGTCTAAATCCGATGACACAAAGCCTCAAAAAGCACAACTTGACAGAAGAATAAGGAGGAAGAGGAGGGCGGTCACTGGGGGAGAGATTTTGGGTTGCTGTGCAGAAATCTTAACGCTGGCTGCATACTTACAGGATTTTTATGCGGCGCCACGCCCTGACAGCACAAAGGCAAGCACACAGAAACTCTTGAAACGCACCAGGTTAGAGTGCGGAAAACAAAACAAAAAAAAGTGAAGAAAAAGAAAAAAGGCGTAAAGCGGGAAAATTCCCATGGACTTTACCTGTGCGTGCACCAGGGAGTCGTTGAAGAGGATGAACCAGTTGACGGAGAACCTACCAGCGTTCAACAGGCTCAGAGACTTGTTGCTGCTCTCGTAGATGAGCCGGCGGTGAGGCTTCCTCAGAGAGTCCTGAACACAGAGGGCAACGTGTTCATGACGTCCGAGATGACATGAAAACTGAGAACATACTCTGGAGATTTACCGTCATTTTGCCCGGGAAGCTCTTCCAGAAGTGAAAGGTGTAATCAACCTCTTTCCTTTTCCTCTTCAGCTGGATCATCAAAGCTTCAAACTTAGAGCAGCTGTCCTGAAGCTTCTGATAGTCATTGGAACACTGAGAACACAAAACAACAATGTATTAATGTTGTTGGTCAAGGGATAGCATATCTCTGACAAAACTGTTTAAATAGAGAAAAACTCTGATTGCATAACCACCATGATCAAAAATTATTTTAGAGGCTGTGTCTCTATTCAGGGGTTGCAGACTTGGTAGGGCGCATTGATAAGCTGCTTATGTCACTGCCCGTCCCATAGTGTGGTCAAAAATGTGTTCTTCTCTGGGGTCTTCAGTCGCTGCTGTAATGTTCAGGAAAAATGACTGACAGGCTTGAAGTTAGTAGAAAAGTGAAATCTTGTTTTCAGATCAAAGCCTGCATCGAGTTACGAGTTCTCTGGCCCAATTGATGAGAAACTCAACTCCTGGGGTCTGCACTCTTTGTAAAGGCAAGTCACTGCTTGATTTAGATATTCCACACACGTACTTAGGGGTGGCCGAGAATGCTTAAATTTAGGCCTTTTCCTTGTAAGGTGTTGAAAATGACGCTGATCTATTGCAGCTGACATACGCAGAGAAGTTTCAGGCCTTGTCACAGGTGTACAAATGTATTCTTAGACACCACAATAAGCTGTACCAATTCATAAGCCCCTACTCATGTGGTCGAAAAACCCCTGAAAAACGTGGACTGCATCCAAGTATCATATGTGGCCGACAATATCCCAAGATTTATTGTGTTGTCAGCAAACAACAGAAAAACAAAGACGGCAAAGTTTTTTTTCCCTGCCCAAAGGTGGAGTTTAGTTAAGTTTTTCTGTGGAATTCACTATTAAATGTAAGTTTAGCAACTTAGCTGTTGAAATTTATGCTGCAATAAGATGTTAAGGTCCTGTCACACTATGACGTTTTGGACAACTTATGCATTTTTCCCCAACACGCTGGCACACGCTGAGGAAGAGAAAAATAAGCATCAGTTAACACCTTTTGGACGTGTTCATACTGTGTTCCTAATAACTTGAACAGATATAAAACCTCTGAGTAAATTATCCCTACCTTAAACATAACATGTACAAGCTTATTATAACGTGTTTGGGCGTCTGCAGCACGTGTGTGCAACATTAGTGGAACTTCTGCAGAACCTCTGTGCAGCGTGATGGAGGAAAATGAGACGTCGGCAGCAGTCACACAGTCACACAGTGACGCACAGCATCAGCTTATCTACAACAGGTTGATGGAAGTTAGGCATCCTTTTAGGATAACTTACCAACACGTTAATATAAGAGGGCATATGTTGTCATACGGAGACCCCAGCGCAGAATTTTGAACGTATCAAAAATTTCACCGTATGTGGAACGGATGTGATCAGTTTTTCGCACGTTCCAGATCTGTTCCAGGTCTGTTTTATAAATGTTCACACAAGTTACATGAACATTGCTCATTCATGGACATTTGTCAGAATTAGTTATGGAGCAGACACGTAACTTCTGTCAGAATGTGTGGGCGTGTCCTTCGATGATTGACAGACAGCTGTAAACATGTTGGGGAAGAAGTCAGAGAGCGGGGCTCATAAAAACAATTTATGTAAGACTGAGTTTTAAAATATATAAAAGAATGAACAGAGAGAAAAACAAAGCTGGCAGATATGTTTAAACCAGCCGTCAGAAAAGATGATCCACAGAAAAATTCTCACGCTCCACCTGAGAGGATGAGGTGAGACAAAGCTGATGATCTTTAAAACAGACCTGAGCCGCTGCAGCATCAACATTGATCAACAGCTGTGTGTGATCTAGCACACATGGAGCCGTTCATGTGCCACAATTTGATCATCAGCCTGAAGAACCGGTTGAGAGTCGTGCTTTGGCTACTCACTTGCGCACTTGCCTGCTGTGGCGGTGTTTATACTTTGCATAATTTTAATATTTAAAGCAAAAGAAAACCTAATGGACAAACAGGAGAAGGTTTTAAACCCAGAGTGACAAAATAAAACATGTAGATAATCTTTAAAGTATTAGTCCAATTATTTTAATTTGTTATACCCCAAATCCATCCATCCATTATCTATATCCGTTTCTTCCTTTCAGGGTCACTGGTGCCCACATCCAGCAGCCACAGTGTGAGGGGCGGGGTACACCCTGGACAGGTCACAAGTCCATCACAGGGCCACATAGAGACAAACGAGACAAACAACCATTCACTCTCTCACTCACACCTAGGGACAATTTAGAGTTATCAATTAACAGTCATGTTTTTGGCCTGTGGGAGGAAACCAGAGTGCCCGGACAGAACCCAAATCATAAATATAAATTTGTTGATACTGGGGTTAAAGCAGTCGATCTAATGGTCACATATTTCAGAGTTACATCAGACTATTGTCTTCAAACCAGCTTGTGTTTATTCCGCGTACCACTTCAAAGCAGGTGCCCAGTTTGAGCAGCAGCCTCCCGTACTCGTGAAGATGGAGGGTTGGGAGGTAGAAGAGCATCATGAGGAGGTCAGAGACAACTGGGCTCTCATCACTGCACTCTGACAGCCTCTGCAGCAGCTCGGGACTTTTCCCAAAGACATCTCTTTAAGAAACCAACAGCAGGTTTTATAATATCAGGCAATTTTCACATTAGAACCAATGTTTCTATGCTTTTCCATTCACTCACACAGATGGTTTCGTTAGAGCCTGGAAGCCTCCCATCACATGAAAGTTGCCCACAGCACTGCAGTATCTTCATGAAAACACAAATACATAAAGTATTTTTACACATCTCTACAAATACTATAAACAACGTCTAACTTCTGAACACACACTCATTGTAAGAGTCGAGGAAGATGCTGGCGTAGTTGAGGATCAGCAGGCCCTTCACATCGCGGCCGCGGCGGATATTAGCAGTGAGGCTGACGGCGTGCTGCCCCGTCAGGTGACACAAGACGCTGAATCGACTCGTCAGTGTTTGCAGGAGTTCAAACGTCGCCTGGCCGAGCACCGAGCTCAGAGACTCTGAAGGGAGGAGGCAAACAGAAACATCAGTCAGCGGAAAAAAACAGAAGAATCTTCCTAAAGATTGTGTTCTCACCCAGCTCCAGCAGAGGGCGTATGACCTGTGACCTGACGCTGCACAGTCTGCAGTAGAACTTCCTCTCGGTGGAGGCTAGCTCGTGCAGGCTGGCGATGAAGCCCATCACGTTCCGGTCAGAGAGCGCCACGCAGCTCCGACCGCCTGCGGACACGCTGCTCACATAACCCAGCTGGAAAACACAAAGCAAACAGTTTATGTTTACACAACTAGTGGAGTAAATCTGAAGCCACATTTAGAAGACTCAAAATTAACATTTTATAAATCATAAAAAAACAGCAACAATGTAGACAAGAGGGAAAACAAAAACTGCAAAATCTATTGCAGTTTTGTATAAAGTTAAGGAGTTATTTCATGACAAAGCACTATTTACACTATATAATGCAATAATTGTTCCACATTTGATTTATTGTATAGAAGTCTGGGGAAATGCATGTAAAACCATTACTAATCCTATTTTTATTTTACAAAAAAGAGCAATAAGAATTATTACAAGAAAGCATTACTATGACCCTTCTAATATATTGTTTCATCAATTAAAATTGTTAACATTTCATGAGTTGGTTGATTATAACGTTCTGCAGGTTATGTATAAAGCTCATAGAAATGTGTTTCCTTCAAACAGCCAATCATATTTTGTTAAGAGGGAAAGCTGTTATAATTTGAAGGGATTACAAATGTTTGTTAAACCAAAAATCTGAACAAATTTAAGGACAGATGCACTTCAGTAAAAGGTATAAGACTATCTGGAGGATGACTGTAAGAGCATTGGATCAGTTAATTCCTTTAAGAAAATCATCAAGGAAAAATTGTTAAAGAAATATGAAATTGTTTAATTTGTATTAGTTACTGTCTGAGTTGAATTTTTTGTTTTGTTTTTATTTGGTTCATCATTGTTTGAAATATTTTTTTTAAAAAGGAGCAAATATAAATTTTTTTCTTCTTCTGCTGAATTTCATTTTGCTTTATTTGTATTATTTTATTGTGTGAAATGTTTTGTTGGTTTGGTTTTTTTAATGAAATGAATAAATAAATGAATTGAATTGAAAACATTGTGAACTGCAGTGTGAATGAGGAGTGATGAATAACTTTGCTGGGGAAACTGAAACTAAGTTGTTAAAGCTAAAGTGTGCAAAACAAAAGCTAAAAAGAGAGTATTTAAAAGCTAAAAGTAGCTAAATGCTAGGTTAAAGTAGAAAAGGCTGTTTAAAAGCTGCAAAAAGCAGCAAAATGATAGTCAACAACTAAAAGGGTCAACATGGTGATAGATTTAGAAGATTATTAAATTTTAGGTGAAATTAGCATTAGCAGTTAGCTGACTGTGTTTAAGCTACAAATCCTCTTGTAAATGACACAATTAAACTATTTATGGTTCATGTATGAGTGCAGGACAGTAAGAAGAGTACAGGTTCCACAGTTCTTCACTCTTACGTTCATGCAGAAAGGCAGCAGGACAGGCTGCTGGGTGTGGGCCCCCACTCGACTCCCCTCCTCTTCCTCTCCTCCTTCCTGCTGAGCCACCTCCTCTTGGCCCTCCTTCACCTGCTGCCCGCTGTAGTAAATGATGGGCTGGATGCAGTCTCCGTCCGCCAGCAGGAGGGTGTGCCTCTCTCCAGCGCTCACATCCCAAACCCGGATTCCCTCTGACAGCTGGACGACGACACGAGGAACATGGTTTAGAAAAGAAAAAAAAGGTGAACTTCTAAACTTGATGTGGAGGAAGAGCTGGTTCAAACCTTAGCGAGGCAAGGGACGGTGCTGGGAGACTCCATGTGTCCCAGCTGACCGGAGCTGTTGCTGCCCCAGGAGAACACCTGGATGGTGGAAACACCATGATTTTTAAAACATGATTCAGCTGCATTTGTTATGTTTAAAGCATGTTCTTTTATTGATCAAAATAAACCTTTTTAAACACGGTTTTTCAGAAAATACAGCCAACATTATGACTGTTCCAGTAAAATGATAATGACAGTCAAATAAAACTTATGAAGGACAGTTAAAAAAAAGACTGGACAGTTGTGTACAGAAAGAAGACAGCACAGATAACCAGCAGCTCTCCACAGCTGTGATGACAGAGGGAGTTAGGGGGCATGTTCCCACACCATCTGCTGTAAACTGTGGTGGTCTCTTCCTGACAAATGTACAAAATACAGCTTTTCCTGATTGTGACAGGTGTGTTCACCAGAGTAAAGCAGCTGAGCCTACCTGAGACTGAGCTGTCAGAGCAAGAGAATGATGAGCCCCAGCTGCCACACGCACCACCTCCTTATTGTTTAGGCTCTTGATGCAGACCGGCTGCAGTCTGTAAACAAACAAACAAACAACAAAACATGTCAGAGACCCACGACAGCTCTCGTCAAACGAAAACATATCAAGACAAAATTATCAGGAATTAAAAGGATTCAACACACTGATCTAATCTGGACTAACTGTATTCAGACAGAAACATTTAGCTACTTCCTTCTTTTAGCTTGTGTTTTGCTACTCTTAGCAAATGTTTAGCTACTTTTGCTTTTAAGCTAGTGCTACTCTGTCTTTCAGCTAGTTCTGCAACTTTTAGCTGTCATCTTGCCATTTTTGGTTTGTGGCTAGAGGTTTTGCTACCTTTAGTATTACTTTCCCTTTGCTTTGCTGATGATGTAATTATTTTTAACATTTAGCTACTTTTAGTAATTAGGTAGGGTTTTAACTAGGGTCTTGCTATTTTTAGATTTTAGCTTGTTTCTTGATAGTTTTAGCAAGAATTTTGATGGTGTAATCTTTAGAGTTTTGAAACTTTTAGCTATTGTTCTTCTAATTTTAGCTGTTAGCTACCATTCAGTTAATTTTAGCTACTGTTTTGCAACTTTTGATTTCTAGCTAGTGTTTTGCTACTTTTGTCTTTGAACTACAGTTATGCTACTTTTATCTATCACTTTGCTAATGGTGTAGAATTTTAACTACTTTTAGCTTTTAGGCAGTGCTTTATCTAGAATTTTGCTACTTTTAGATTGTAGTTAGCACTTTGCTACTTTTAGCTTTCCTTCAGCAAATTTTAGTTGACGTTTTTATTTAACTTTTTTTTTGTAAATTACTATTGTTTGAATATATTCTTGGCCTTCCATTTTATTTTATCTTTGATTTGTATATTTTTATTTTCTATTGTATATAGTTATTTTGTTTTTAATGAAATGAATACATTTCTAAAAAAAATTTTTTTAGCTGTTAAATACAATTTAGCTACTTTAGCTAGTGTTTTGCTACCCAGTTGTCTCCATTAATGCAAGATAAATTTTTAACTTGTGTATACCTACCTGGCCAAGTTGTCTCCGTGTCCCAGCTGGCCGTCCTGGCCTTGTCCCCAGCTCCACACCTCTGTCTGCAGGGTGGGCAGAACCTCCAGGGCCTCAGGGACGCTTCCGTCTATTGGGGTCAGGGCAAAGGCCCGGATCCTGGGACGGCCCATTTTCCTCAGCAGCCGGGGCGACACTGCAGAGACGCAAAAAGACAGCAGGACTCACTTAACTTTAAATTAATAAGAGATCTGACATACCCTGAAGGAATGCATATCGCCTGCTGCTATATGGTGAGATCTGAACAACCTGTTGAAGCTTAGACTAAATATTAAGAATGATTCTCAGCTACTACAACAGATTTTATCTCAATATCTGTAAAAAACTATTGTGTTAGAGCCATTCTTGTACTTTCTGTGGTGGCCATTTTAAAATCTGGTTGACTTCAAAAGCAAATCCACTGGTGTTTTTAAACATTTTGCTAATAACAGACGTATGAACTCAGACACAGACAGAAGCAACTACAGCAGGTTAAGTTTAGCTTAATGTGTTAAAGACAAGTGAGAAATGGACATGGAAGCATGCGTGATGTTTACATCTGATCAGCCGGATCACTAGAAGGCAGCAGACAGAACAAACAGTAAAACAAACTTTTATAATAATGCAGTTTAAACTAATAACTGGGATACTCATTTACTGACAGCAAACGGGTGAAATTCTTCAGGGTTCTTCACACTCATCATTAAATTTGTTGTTTTAGTCTTAAAACTGCAACCAAAGCAAAGTGCCAGTTTTCCAACAGATGTCCAGATCAAATCATCTCAGCTGTCAGCAAGTAGAAAAGTCCACATTTTGGTTTATTTTATTCATGTGCAAGGACAAGGTCCCACCGTTTTAATCCCTCAGAAATCCCTCATTCTGCTCTAATAAACCGGATGAACCCTACCAGGCCTTTCTAGTTCTGTCCAGATCAGCGTTTACAAGTGAGACACGAGGCTCTTTCTAACCCGCTCTGTATTTCTCCATCAGCATCCTCAAAGCAAAGATGGTGTCTGTGGTGCTCTTTGTTGGCATGATTCAGTTGTAAGAAATACGTGTTTAATATCGGCTGAAATCAGATGAAAACACAAGTGTTAAATAAGATGATCTGTGATAGGAAATAAATGTCAAACAACCCAGAATTCTGGAGCGGGTGAGGTTTATTATGCCACAAGCTGACAAGTCAAAACCACTCACACTGAATTAAAAACAGGAAGTCCCCCTTATAAATACAGTCCAGAAATCTTCAATGCCTGAGTTCGCCCCCTGCTGGCCTACAGCTGAATCCCAGGCATTCAGACAAACAATCTTCACTCTTATGTAATTACAGCTTTAAAAAATATGTGTTGTTTAATGATTCGGACATGTATCTACGCTATATAATTAACACGTAATATAACCAACATTATAAAAGTATTATAAAATAAGGAAACCCTAATACTCTGGTGGTGTTTGTAATATCAGTACTAAGCAATAATAACTATAAATTTCTTCACTGTAGTGCTGCTCACACATCTTCACCTCCCAGATCTTCACTTTAACTTTATTCCACTGTAGTTGCCACAACCCTGTCCATCACCCTTGTCCTTAAAAACAGACAACAGCACACGCCTACTCCATTCCTCAGGTGTTTTCTCAATCTCAAAAATTTTGCTGAATTATATCGCCTAGACATTTCCAGACCTCCACTGGCATGTCATCAGATCTAACTACTTCCCCTTTCTTCAGCATCTTCAAAGTTTACAAACTTTATCCTCATTAAATTACCACTTCATGGTCCATGTTTTCTATCACCTTTATTGTCCTGATGCATCTCAGTAATCCAGGTAAAAAATCAAAAAGAAAAAAATTGTGTAGGTCTTCTGGACGGGTTCTTCTCTAATGAAACGTTTCGTCTCTTCTCCAAGAGACTTCTTCAGTCTGAGAGTTTCAGGCAAAATTCAGGCTTTTAAGCTCAGCCTCCGTGTGACTGATACTCATATCACGTGGCTATCGTTGACACCTAATTAACACTTATTGTTAACAGGGGGTGGAGTGATACTGGCAATAGCCGCGCTGTAGGAGGGGGACAGCTGAAAACGGAGGCCTCCACCTCTGTTTAATGATGGACGGTCTTTCTTCACAWAAATGKCTTCTTTTACTCCTCTCTCAAACCAACGTTCCTCTCTATCAAKAATGAGAACATCCTCATCTCTGAAAGAGTGACCGCTGGCCTGTAAATGAGTGAAAACTGCAGAGTTCTGGCCATTAGAYGTAGCTCGTCTGTGTTGGGACATTCTTTTGAACAGTGGCTGCTTTGTTTCCCCGATGTATAACTGGTCGCAGTCCTCCTGGCACTTAACAGCATATACAACATTGCTCTGTTTGTGCCGGGGCACCGGATCTTTGGGGTGAACCAGCCTTTGCCGTAATGTGTTTTGGGGTTTGAAAGCCACTGGGATATCATGTTTAGAAAATAAATGTCTCAGTTTCTCCGAAACACCCGCAACACACGGAATAACCACTGGTTTGGGTCTGGGTTTGGGGTCTTCATTTTCACCTGAAGGTTGCATGGAATCCTGTCTGTGTTTCCTGTCTGCTTTCAGGAAAGCCCAGTCAGGATAACCACATTGCTCCAGGGCCTGTCGTGTGTGTGATTTCTCTTTCTCCCTGGCTCCTGGGTTTGTAGGGACACTGTCTGCTCTGTGGTACAGAGTCCTGATAACTCCTAACTTGTGTTCCAGTGGGTGGTGGGAGTCGAAACACAAATATTGGTCTGTGTGGGTGGGCTTACGATATATGCCAGTTTCCAACCGTCCTCCATCCAAAACCGAGATGTCTCGGTTTTGGATGGAGGACAGTCTAATGGCCAGAACTCTGCAGTTTTCACTCATTTACAGGCCAGCGGTCACTCTTTCAGAGATGAGGATGTTCTCATTCTTGATAGAGAGGAACGTTGGTTTGAGAGAGGAGTAAAAGAAGCCATTTTTGTGAAGAAAGACCGTCCATCATTAAACATAGGTGGAGCCCTCCGTTTTCAGCTGTCCCCCTCCTACAGTGCTGCTATTGCCAGTATCACTCCACCCCCTGTTAACAATAAGTGTTAATTAGGTGTCAACGATAGCCATGTGATGTGAGTATCAGTCACATGGAGGCAGTGCTTAAAAGCCTAAATTTTGCCTGAAACTCTCAGACTGAAAAAGTTTCTTGGAGAAGAGACGAAACGTTTCATTAGAGAAGAACCCGTCCAGAAGACCTACACAATTTATTTCTTTTTTAATCACCTTTATTATTCTTTCTATTTCATTCCTGATTTATTAGCTCCTCAAAATTATAATCCCATCTTCCCATCACATTCTCCTCACGAGCCTAACCTGTTGTCCATCCTTTCCAGCCTGACTCCTCTGTCCCACCAACCAATACAAGTCCTTCTTTCCCTCCATAGTGTCCACCCTCTGGTACAACACAAGTCTTCAGTTTAGCCTTTGCTACCTCCCTGTTTGCCCCGCATTGCTTCTCTTTATGTTCTGCTTAGATCCTTATTCTTCTCTCCTCAATCCTCTTACTGCTCTTCTTGACTAAGTTCTTCCTCTGGGTAACTTAACTATTCACTATTCCTCCCCCAGGTTTCCTTAACTTTTCTCTGTCCAGATGACACATCAAATATCAGGACGCTGACAGAAATAATCCTGGGAGAGGCATCCAATAAGGAAAGTGAAAAGGATTATTTTATTCTGTTTAATGACGACAAGGATGCAAAAAGCACTTTATGGTTTTAAAATATAAACACTCAACAAGCTGGTGGTGCAATGCCCGAGCAGTGCTACCGTCTCAACCAATAACTACTGAAGTGTTAGCAAGGAGAGGATATGATGACATGTTGAGGTAATCTGTAACTTAAATTTTAATTGTGTTTAACTGATAGTTTTACATCTCTGTTCATGCAGGGATTAAGTGTTTCACATGGGGCGGCTGTGGCTGAGTGGTTTGGGGAGTCGTCCTCCAATGAAAGAGTTGGAGGTTTGATACCCTCGTTATTCAGTCAGAGGTCCAAGTGTCCTTGGGCAATAAGAATCTCCCTCATTATTCTGGCATTTAGCAAATAGAAAAAAATTGGTAATCCCAATGGATTTCACGTCAGTGTGGAAAAAATGCATACGTGTCTTTTTTACAGTGTACAGTATGTAAACTTCTGGTTTCAACTACAGATTTAGAAACCTTAGTATATTCAAAATAGAACATATTCTAAAAGAGAAATGAAACCTGAAACAGGTGCAGCTTTTGTTTTGTCAGAAATATAATAGAAAATCCTGTTTTACTAATTAAAAAAAGAAAAGCTGCAGCTGCTTTTACTGCCAGTTCTCATCAACGTTTGCTTTTAAACACTTGACACAAGAATAAAATCCTAATTTCAAATATTTTTAAAAAATTGGGTTGAGTATAACACGGACTCTGTTGGAAAATCTGACTCATTTATTACTTGGGATGTTTTGTTTTGTTCTGAACTTTAACCTCTGTTATAAAAAGGTCTCATAGTTGTTTTTACTTTGTTTTAACTTCAGTTTCTGTAACTGTAGAGAGCTGGAGCTGAGTGACAGAAAACATCTGAGGCTACATCTGTTACTGATTATTTGAATATGAATGTAATCTGGCATCCATCAAGGATGCTGCAGCATCCTCTGCACTCCTACTTCACACGACCTTATATGCAGATTAAAAACACTCAAAGTTTTAGTCCGACTACAACAGAAAATCTGTCAAATTTTCTACAATGTTCAGTTGCCCAAAGTTACAGCCCCCTTTAGGCTGGATTAACACAAGAAATTAAGAAATCTGTTCTCCATGATGAGGCTGCAACAATAAAATTATGTAATTGTGTTCTTCTAGGAGCTATGAGAGAGAGTTCCCAACACAGAGTCTGGGCAGAACACTGCCC